AGAAAGACGCATTTAGGTCAGTGTCCATGAGATGATATTCACAAAGGATTCTTTTACTGATTGATTTTAGTTGCCTCAGTTATGAACTCTTTGCGTAAAGTCTATCATAATTAAGGGTGTTAATTATGACCCAGGAGGCGGCACCCTGCTACAGAGCCAAGACGGGCCGGTGGAAACGGGGTCACTCCGAAATAGAGCCGAGCCGAGCCGAGCCGAACCGGGTTGTTGAAGTAGAGCCGGTGGAAAAGGGGCAATAGAAAGTCATGAAGCAAATCAGAACAGCGGAGAGGACTTTACAGAATGTCGCCAGTGAACGTCCATGAGTAGAAGGAACAAAACAGGACCAGCAGAGGGCGGTGTTGTCACATAGAACAGAATGGAATGGGTCAAATACGTCACAGGGTCCGAGCTGCGTCACGTGTTCCCTCATGACGTAATTATTATACGACTTAAAAGTATTTTTAGGCGTTTATAGCGTGCTGGTCCGGGATAAATCCATCCTCCTGTCTCTTCTCTGGGCCTTTTCCCCGTTGCAAAGAAACTTTCCAAAGACATCTGATTCGTTTCTTACTCATTTTGCTGCTTGTGTAAGTAACCGAGAGAATCCGGTTAACGGATTTTCAAAATAAAAGATCCTCCAGACTCAAATAATACATAAAACGGAAATATTACATTTTTTCTTGCGCGGCCCAGTACCAATTGGTCCACGGACCGTACCGGTCCACGGGTTGGGGACCACTGATTTAGGGCACAAGATGAAGTCAAACCTGAAGTCTTAAAGGCGATTCACATCGTGGTCACATTGGATTTGGAGATTTTATCGTTAAAACTGTCACTTTAGGTGGCCATCTTGTTAAGGATTCCTGTAGTTTCCCAAAGGTAGCTTAATCATTCCTCAGGAACTTTGGGTTGCGCTCTTGGCTGCCATGTGCTTGTTTATTTGTCAAGTTTTTGAAATATTTCTTGTTTTTAGGAACTAGACATAACTAAACTTTGCTGCAAGACTGAACACAAAAAGTAAACACATTCAATAGTCTAGAAAACTATAACTCTAAGACTCAGTAGCTACCAGGTGAGCAGAAAAAAAGGTCTAATTCTTACTCTTTTCTTCTTGCTGATTTCCTCTTTTCCTCATTGAGTTCATGGGCAGCGTCTCTTAGCTTGACCTCTGACCCCGGAGCGGTAGCTGGGATGATGTCCAGTTGCAGCTCTTTGCTCTGTACACACAGCAGGTTGTGGTTATTATGTGGCACGCAGCAGCTAGATGGGATATCCAGCACTGTGTGGTGTTTGCCTTCTGTTGGCAGATGTTCGCTAAACAAAGTTTGAACAGCAACTTGCGGTAAACAGACGACGATACCATCTGTTCTCTGCACACCATAAAATAAAACGCAGCAGTGGGACTGGCTGATAAAAAACAAAAAAAAATCCTTAAGGCAACACAAAGCCTGATTTTCTTTTGTTGTTGTTATTAAAGTCTATTAAGTTGTCATGGTCTTATTTTTAAAACCTTTTGAAATCTCTTTGCGAGTTTCTCTATGTACCAATAGTGTATGTCCTCACAAAAAAAACCCAAAAAAAAAACATGTCACTCACAGCCTTGTTTGAATCGGAAGAGATGCCAAGCGCCGTTTCCAGGCTGGTTCGATATTTGTCCATGCGGAGAGAGAAGTCCCTGTAGCGCTTGTCCACGGAGGACACCCATTTCTTTATCTCCAGGGCATGGGCGTGGCCCTTGTCACAAAACCCATCCGCCAGCTGGATCAACAGCTTCACCCGCTCTTTGGTTTGCTGTCAATAGAGGGACATTCAGGGAGGGCAGTGGAGAGGGAGGAGAGAGAGGTGGTGCCAACAGAGAAAAGGTAGATGAGCGAAAGAAAGAGTTGGGAATCATGTGTTGCTTGGTGGACACAATAGCGTGCTTTCTGACACACAATAACAGTGACACAGCAAAGAGGACAATGCAGTGCCCCTGGAAATGGGCCTCACAGCCGAGCGCCGGACTGACTGAGCGAGCACAACGCGATAATCAGATAAAAACAGAGAGAATCGCCACGAGCAGGAAAGCCAGAGAACGTAAGACCTGCACGTACCTTTGCTGTGATCTGGAAGTCTTCGTGCTCTTTCAGTAGCTCCTGCGTGTGGTGAATGCTCGACCCAGTGGACGTGTGCGTGGACAGGTAGAACTCCCCGGTGTCGTGGATCCACTCCAGGGCCTGGCGAAACGACCAATCATGAGAGAGGACAGAGGCGACACAGTGATGGCCTACGTGTCCAGGATTCAAATCTTAAGACAACAGTTCAAACTTTTTGAACAATATTTGAAATAAACTGAAAAGGGATTGTAAAAGAAAAACTTTACTACAGAACCTACTTTTATTTGATAAAATAAGTCCTTTTTAAAATTACAGAAAAACGTTTATGAAAATTATCGATTGCACTTTAAGATTACGAGCACCACTAATACAAATTACGACAATACTGATGGCTATATTATTAAGCATGCAGTTGTTCCATAAGAAAATGCTAGTTATTTACAAAAAGAAAATATTTTTTTCACTTTCTTTTCTTTTGAATTGTAGAATGTCCTACTTAGTGTGTTTTTTTTTATGGCCTGTGTATTTTAAAACCAGGCCTGGAGGTGACACTGCCCTGGCCTGAAATGGCAGAACTGGTCCAGTCAAACTGTGAGACCAAAAAGCATTGACACCCTGGGGATAAAACCTGGAAAGCCTTAAAATAGCTCTGTTCCAGAAAACAAGTGTGATGTAATTTCATTCTTACAGGATAAGGAATGATGTTCCAATACTGTGTTTTCCAAACACCACAAGGGGGAGCTAAGAGTATGGGATTGTACAGCGATGAGGCACTTCAGCAGCAATAGCTTGCAAAACTACTCTATTTGTGGGACGTTGCAGTATTCTGTTTTTTTTCCATGTTAAAACCTAAATCCTCAGTGTATTAGGTGGTGATTTTATGTGACAGACCAACAGGAAGTCGTGCATTTATTTGATAAAAAACTGACTGAAATTTTGAGAAGAGGGGAGAGCATTTCTTTTCAGCCATCTTAAGTCAGAACATTTTGGCCTACTTTGCCCATCCAGTGACTTCTTGCCCATTCTTCTTTGGAAAATAGCACATGCTGAGTTAGATTAGTTAAAGAGCATCTGTTAACATCACTGTTAGTGTTTTGCCACGGATTCTCAATTAGATTTGAGTCTGGAGTCCGAGTCTGATTGGAGTTTTGAGTTTAATCTGAAAAAAAGTATAATCTTTCAACTTGTCTCCAAAATGACACGTAGCAAACTGAAAATTGGACTTCTTATGCCTTTCTCATTTTCATAAAAATCAGATTTGTTGAGAATACAACTATTAGCTGTCCTGTCCACATATTCTCCAATGTGAGCTGCTGATCTCAGCTCCTTCTCTAGAGCTACTATTATTGCAGGTTTATATTCTGCACAAGTTCTGCAAGTGAGGTCATCTCGCGCTAATTCCTCGATCAAACAGGAACACAGACACACACACATGCACAAGAACGCACCTGTTTGGCGCTTCTTTCAAACACCACATATTGCTGGCACTGGTCCAGCCTCCTCTTCCTCATGGTCCAGAAGTGGAGGACTCTGTTCTCTCTCTGCAGCAACTCATTCAAGATATCTGACACAACAACACAAAAAGACATGGTTAATTTGGCGTAACAACAACATGTCCGCAAATCGTAAGGCTTCGATTAGGATTTTACAGGAGGAACAAACGGCTACGCAAAGTTCAGAGAATTACTTTATCCGCAAAACACATAAATCGTGAGGATGAGTATTGCTGTTTACATACTTTTGACCTGAGTCTCTGGAGCTTTTACGTGGGACAGCATGCCAGGCATGTTGACACTGTTTCTGTGCAGGTACTTCAGGAACACATCGGCATTGCGTCTGGCTAACGTACAGGCCTGCGAACACGAAGGGAGGAGGAAATGATCACTTGTCGGATCAGCTCAGAAATCACAGAAATGCGTGTGTGGGCGTTTATATTCATATCTGAAGTTTTTGGTCTCACTTTGAGAAATGCCTCTTTCTGCTCCAGATGCTTGCTGACCATAGGGGTGACGTGATCCGTCTCACTGTTTGGGCCCAGTTTGTCAGCACCACCGCACCAGTCCTCCTCTCGCTTGTACTCCTGCTCGAGGCTTTCCAAAACACTGCACACCTGAAGCACACAAACGCGACACGGCTTTTAAATTTGCTCTAAAAAAACGAAAGAAAAAAAATGACATTCAGCTCATTCATCGTTATTTCAAAAATGATTCGCTTGCAAAAATCTGAACTGTGCACAGTTGATTCCAATGACCAGTAAAAAAAAAAACAAAAAAAAAAACTTTTCAATATTCAAATAAACTAACAAAATTATATTTCTGCATTTTCTTGTGCACGACTCCCTCTTAGCTATTATAGATAATTGGTATAGCACTACAGTTGTCCTAGTAGCATCAAACAAGATGCACTTTTGTGTCCTGTCAGACAAAAATACCTGTTCAGATGTTTTGTAGAAAGCCACAGATGCATTAACCAGTTTCAGCCTGTCCTCCATCTTAAGCATCAGCTGCTGCCAGTGATCCGCCACCTTCAAGTCAAACAAAACTCATCAGATTTCCAAAGGAATTGTGAAACCCACACTGTGCTGCCTACACAGATTTTCATTATTTTTCATAGATATGCATAAAAAAAAGCAAAGAGCACCTTTTCTGCACAGTCTCTGATCATGTCCATGTCGTAGTGGTTTGCCTGAAGAAGCGCCTCTGCTTTCTGCTGCACCTGCAGCGCACTCTGGTGGGTTTTCTTCATTAAGAATGAGATAAAAACAAACTTTAAATAGATTACAATTAACAAACAATCAATCCAGCATATAAAAACGGATGAATGTTTTCGAAATTTGTCCTGGGTTCATGCTGGTCCTATATTTGTGCAGTATGAATATGATGGAGCTTTTTTTTATAATTCTTTCATTTTTTTATTTGCAGGACCTTTTGGGTTTGTCTTGTACTACTGCAGCTAAAAATTCTAGACCCACACTTTTGCGAAAAACCAAATCAAAAGTGAATCTTACTAGTGTGTAAGGGATCTGTGAAGAAAGCAGGTCAAGCACAGGCCCGTATAAAAATAAGCAAACCTTGACTGGGTTCAAAGGAATGCAAAAGGCATACTCAATGGCAAAGACTAGGAAAAAATAACGAGTGAAAAATGAGGGAGAGACATGGAAATAAGTCATTTATAATTTTACTTGATGTGTCACCTTTTATAAGAAGAGGTGCAGATTGAAAAAAATGAAACATTTTTTTTATTTGATTTCACCTCAATTGCATGTTGAAATTGTTCATGTTCTTTCTGCAGCTGCTCAGCTTCTTGTAACGAACTGGCTGTGATGAGACCGGCGTTGAGCATCGATTCCCCATTACGGATCCAACCTAAAACCTGCAACAAACAGAGAAAGCATTTATTGTTCATGCTTCAGTTGTAGTTTCAGTATTTGGTCTGATTTTTTTTCCATTCTCTCCTAAAAGCTAACTAAAAAGACAACTTAATGAATGTTTTTTTTTTTTTTCCAGTTACTGTGTAAGTTCAAACTATCATCTAATGCTTGCATCTTCCGGCCCTGTATCTAAGTTGAAATCTTTCCGAGTGCAAACTTCTTGACACGTCGGATTTATTCTTCACTTCTACGCTTTTCCCTCTCTTGGGTAATCTTGCAACCAACCGTACCACAACAACCCTGCTCCACCTCACACACATGCAGCCTGCAGCTTGAAAGATCGCTTTCCCTCATAGTTATGCCGGCCTAGTTCTAGCCGGAGGGCACGCTCACAAAGACATTTCCCTCCCTCTCTGACTCAGCAGGCACACTTGCTGTGTGGGTGACGGCCAGAACCGTAGCTGACGCTCAGCTATAAAAGTGATGATGCAACCCTGACTCCTGCGTTAGACTCCTGGGACAATGTTTCCATTATGCCTGCAATGTCCTGTGGTGGCATGAAATCCATTAAATGCACTTTTCCCGTCAAACAGTCATACCACTCCAATTTTTTCCTTCCTCTCTCATGCGAGTCTGATGCACTAACCTCTATTAATCCCTGTTTTGGCCGTAGCTACCATTTATTTGGGACACACCTATTTTAAATTACTCACATAAAAAGAAGCCCTTACAGGTAAAACAACATAACGCAATAAAAAGACATAAAAAAAAAGTACAGTAATGGTTAGAGATTGCACAATTTTATCATGCAGTCATCTTTCTGGCACATCATTCCACTTGCTGCAATGTGTCTAGAATTTTTTTTGTTCCTACTAAAGTACGTTTTTGTTTCTTTTGGCTTTTGTCCAATTTTTCCATGTAAACTCAAGAACCATATGCTTCTACTTGCCTGCATCAGTATGATAAGAGCTGTATTAAAAAAAAAACAAAACAAAAAAACATGTTTTCTATAATCATTTGTTTTGCTTTGAAATGTCAGCCGGCAAAATTGCTCCAAATGAGTGTCATGTCGTAATTGTGCGCAAGCACTGAATGAAAACAAGCGGGGAATATCCGCGCTTCGCTTAAACAACAATCCCTCTTCTTCTCTGTGATGCCTGATGCGTTTTCTGATAAATATGTTTTATCAGAATTCCTGTTCTCGAAGCAGAGAAGAGGAATAAGTTCAGACATATCTTTGTTGTTGCATATAGGGGACAAAGAAAAAAAAAATTATCCTGCAATAAAAACATTTCAGGTTTACGTTTGTATTGGCTTGGATCGATATAGAGGAAACAGTGTGGAAAATACACCTATCAATACACAGAGTCCCAGAGTAGAGGTCATCAGCAGGGGGCCTGTGGGCACCTAAAGCCTCCGAAGACCAAAGTGGATGTAAAAATTGATAAATCATTAATCATTAAGTTGTATAAATAAAAGTAAACCGTCCGTATCCCTTCGTGTTACTCACAACCCATGAAATAGCTCAGTTGCAAAGAGACTGATGTCCCACAAACTTGAAACAAAATCCTCACATTTCAAAAAAATGTTCCTTCCTCATGCATGTATAAGCTTTTACAAACTTTGATCTTTTTTGCGTCACGAATCTCTAAAAATCTGTTTAACAACCTCACCAGTTCTTAAAATTTTTTAAGTCAATATTTTTCTAAGTTAACTAATATTTCTGATGCCAAGAATAACTTCTATACTCCACATAAACACATACAAAAAATGGAAGGAAGAAAGAGAAGGAAATAAAGAAAAATAGAAAGAAAAAAAAGAAATAAATATATAAAGAAATAAGGAAAGAGATACAGAAATAAAAAAAGAAGAAAAGAAAAAAAACCCAGAGAGTTTGTTGACAAGGGCTGAGTCATGTACTGGCAGCTCTGTGTAAGCAGAACATGCTGTGACCTTTTAACACACACTAACACATTCTGTTGTAATTGTGGCATGTTGTAACAATATATTGTTAGAAAGAGTTTCCAATAATTAACCCAGCCTCACCCCGTCTGAGAACAACTGTTTTGTTTTTTATTAGACTGCTGTGAACATTACAAGTCATGTCCTGATGTAAAAAGTTAAAACTTGAACATTGTTGTGGCCTGTTCTTGCCTGTTTTCATGTGGTATTACTGTCTCTTACAGACACAATCTTGTGGTTGTTTTTGTTTTTTTCCCCCAATCCCATAAAGTGAGTACCTGTTTGACTTCAGCTTGCAGATGTCTTAACTGGACACACTGCTCCAGGTGTCTCCTGTGCTGCTCTGCAGCCAGGTCCAGCTCCTGCTGCTTCTCATGAAGGAACTCCAACAGGTCCTGAACCCGCGTCGCCATGTCCACGTCTCTGTCACATAGCAGCTCCACACCTGGAATAATAAACACTTTACTAAGCCAACATATAATTATTGTTTTTTTTCTCCCCATCTTTCTATTCCAGTGATTTTTTTTTTCCTTTTAAATATGCAGCTGTAATGAAAGCGAAAGCAGTCCAAGGTCACTAACTATTCTTTTTTATATATGTAAATTCTATGCTTACATGGCAAATGAATACTAGTAATCGTATCTGATTAAAATATAACAAACATTCGTGACATGAATGATGCGGATTGCATTTGATTCTTTCTTTTAACTTGAAACATGAGCAGAAAAATGCCATGTATTATAATAGCATTCTTGAAATAATTACTATGTGCAATACTTGAATAACTTTTTAATTTTTCCCTGAAGTCAAAGGGGGATATTTTATAAAAAGAAAAAAAAAATGCAGAGGCTGCTCTTATGATGGCTACAGACTCTGAGCTGCTGTTTTTATGTTGTTTCAGAAAAGCGCCTCAATGTCCCCGGGTATTTGCTGTTTTGTTTTTTTTTTCCAAATGTTTGTCTCACCAGATGTCTGGACCTCTGTGACATACTGCAGCAGCTCTTGCCCCTGGTGGATGACGTCAAAGGTGAGGTTGTTCATGGTAAGTGCTTTATCTGCATGGTGCTGAAGCCTCTGCTCAGCCAGGGTCAGGTCCTCTGTGTCAAAGTCATTCATCTGCTTGGACAGTTCCTCATTCCATGACTCCAGGTCTGAGATGATCTGTGCGACAGAAAAAAAAAAGAAAAAAAAAAAGGTTGAATTCATCAGTTTAAGCAGGCGCTCAGTAAATACGCAAAAAGGATTCCTTTCTTTTACCTCTATTGCTCTCCTAACACTGAGGAAAGCTGGACCAAAAGCCATTCTGCAGATGTAACGTTATGGTCGGCTGTGAATCTCAGAGTACGTGTTGTTGAAACTATTTAAACTTTAAACACTACAAACAATTTTGATGACTCCCATAGTAACAAATAGCAACAACGCAACAACGTGGTATTTCACGGCTGGCGGAGCAGATGTACCGAGATACCGGTGCTTGTCACCGACTGCCCACGCCGCCTGAATCATGATACTGGGCTTCCCTCTGTCCTGGTGCTGTTCAGCTCTGTCTGTCACAGAGCTTTAAAAAAAACAAAAAACAAGGTGGACCATTGCTGAAATGTTTTTGACAGAATTTGTCTAAAATAAAGACTTGGGCCTCAGCATGAAGGTAAATTAGGTTTTTCTTGTCAATTTGTCTTTTTAAGTGACTACAATTACAAAGACTGTATGTACTCTTTTTGTTTTTATTAACAAGTGGTTCATGAAGGCGACATCTAATCATGACAAGTTTTTAAGTGACAAGAACAAATGTATGGCTTGACCCAAAGCTGCGCTCTCTTCAGCTGTTGCAAAGCCATATAAACTTGAAAGAAATCGGTTTAACGATATAACTGAAGAACACGAACAATAGTATAAAAGCAACACTAACGGTTTTTATGAGTGATCGTCACATGGTGGCAAAAATTCACTCTCTGTGCATTAATAAAAATGAGAAGATTTGGCAGCTGTTGCTCTCAACTGAGGAACCGCCATCTTGTTTTTGAGAAGACCTCCTCTCAAGAAGAGAAGAGTAGAGCAAAAAGAGAAACACAAAGACATGCTTAAAAAAATAAGTGGGTGGACGAGGTTTTGTAGCTTTATGTATCTTGGCCAAAACAAGAGAAGCAATCAGTAAAAGATTCCTGAAATGAAACATCAGGAACGGGATCTCCTCAGCTGACACAGTATTTATTTTCCTTCGTTTTTGTTCTAGAATAGATTCTTTACAGTCAACGTTCACACTTTGACAAAAGATTTGGTCATTACAACCATTAATGTATATTAAGCTCCATATTGAGATTTGATTTAAAACACAAATTTAAATTTTTTTTATTAAGTAGAAGTTCAACCCACTCTGTGATAGAATTAATATGAAACCTAAATCATGTTTTGGACAAATTAAACCATTAATATACACAGTTCACTTTGCAACCATAATGAAACTAAACAGATCTGCACAAGTTACATTTCCAGCAATTTGGCCACTTGTTAAAATCAAGTTACGCAGCAATTTAACCAAATGTGAACACTCATATTGACATATAGTTTTTCATTTCATTTTCTTAACATTATGGACAAATATTATTTTCCAGTTGCTTACATGATGTTTTAAATGTCTGTGGGCTCAAGAACAGTCAAGATTTACTGGAAGATTTCCCAGAAAGCAATGATTGATCCCAAAATAACGAGGAACAAAAATTCCTTTGTTAAATCTCAACAAAAAGCCAAGCTATAAAATATAGCTTTGTAGGTGTAAAGATATATTTTGACACCCGTAGCATTGCTATCAATAAACAAAATGCTATACAATATTTTCTACAAAATAAAGTCTGCTTGCTGAAAAACAAAGACTACAGGAACGTGAACTTCTTAAACTGTTCTCTGTAGGAAAGCTTTCCAAATTATCCTGTGTTCCTACAGGATAACATTAACAATCTATTGTGTACCCAATAATACAAATTACCCCATTATAACCAATAACAACAACAACAATATTTCAAAATTAGCAGAAAGGTTTACACAACTCACCAAGCATTCATTTGAACTTTGCCTTCCTCTCCTCTTACAGTTGAGTAAAATGCCTTCTGAGTACAAAAAGACCATTTCCTTCATCTATCAGGACAACTAATGAGTGGAGGAGACACTGTTAGTATCCTTATTCTCTATTTTTTTTAATTTATTTTTTTTATTGGCTTTACGTAACTGCGAGGAGTGGAACCTCAGCCAGGCAAGAACTAATGGATGAGGCTATGTCTCACCTTCGCCTTGTTCTTAGACACACAGTCTCACACCACCAGTCGTGCCAGGAGGAGGTACCGTATTGCAAACTTTCACAAGTGTGTGTGGGAGCAGGGGAAAAAAAAAAGAGGAAAATAAATCCGTCCTCCACCCATCTTCATGCTTGAGCTCTGTGTCATATTAATCCTGTGTCTGCATGTGTGCTTGTGGGCGTACTTCAGCGCTTTGAGCGTGATTAGCAGATTCACCACCTTTACCTGGCCTGACGTGCAGAGCTAATCTGGTTTTCTGGACAACAGAGACCCAAAAAAAACGACAGAGCTTTTTAATGCATGAAGAACTGTTTATACTGACTTAATTTATTTACTTCTGTCATATTAGAAATACAATCTTTAGCATATCTTATTGCATTTTTTAGGTGGTGAACCAAAACAAAGTGGTGCATTATTGATCAATGAAAAAGAAATTCTACAACGGTTCCAAAAATTGCAAAAAATACGGAAAATGTGTTGAACAAGTATTTTTATCCCCTCTATGGTTACATTTATATTTTTTTGCTATATAGCTCAATTTTTTTGCATTTTTAAGAAAGTCTCACCTGGCTTCAGGTCTGCAAGACATTCTAACATCTGCTTTGGTTTGCTCTGGTTGTAACTTTAGGGTAAGTTGTCCAGCTGGAAGGTGAGACCCCTAAAATCCCATCCCAAATGGGTTGCCAGATTGCCTGATAAAGGAAAACATCCCAACAGCATGAAGCTGCTGCCATAATGTTTCACTCAGTGTGTGTGTGTGTGTGTGTGTGTGTTCAAGAAGATGTGCAGCTTTCAGCCACAAATAGCATTTTGCAGACGACTAAGACGTTTTATTTTGGAGAATTCTACATGTCTGCTGTGTCTCCTATGTTGCTTATGATGAACTACTTAAAGGACTAATGATTGGTAAAAGTCAGACTTTTAAAGGGCACAACTAATAGGGAAGATTTGACAGACTAATCTACTCGCCTTTAGGTTGATGCTGCATTTAATGAGAATAATTTACAGGCAACTAGTTGTGCTGGCTTTTGTTCTGGGGAATCAGATTATGGGGAAATAAAAATGAATGAAACACTTTTCAGATTTTATTTCTTAAAAAAAAAAAAAAAAAAAAACAAATAAAAACTAAACCATTGTGTTAGCCTATCATGTAACATCACAAAAAGACATACTGAGATTTTAAAAAACGGAGTCCAAGGAGTATACTATAAGTTACGTGGCATGAAATTAGACATTTTACTTCTTCATACACATTTCATGCTTTTACACGTGATACAACATCCAATAGCCCGGATCACCTTAAGCTTTTATTCTTGCTCCAAGCATCGGAAGTGGCTTACAGAGCCATGATTCGACGGCTCATATGAGAAATAAAATAAAATGTTGAAATAAAACAGTCATCATATCCTAGCACCAGCTAAGGAAAGCATTCAGTGTCACAGTGGGATGCTCAGGAGTAAGTGGATACAACATAGTAGACCGCTGTTTCAAAAAAAAAACTGAATGAATGAGTAAGTGGATGTGATGCATCAAGTGGAACTAAATGCCTTTCAAAAGTAGCAAACGAGAGAGCCGTGTTGTGATTTCAGCCGAGCTTTAAACCAGCAGGGGTCTTCCCTACAGGACTAAATCTCCCTTTTATTATGAAACGACCCATAAGCTCAAAATCCCCTTTGATTTGCTGTTACGCACCTTTACCACAAAATATTTATTTTGTGTGTGTGTGTGTGTGTTACAGAGTACCTACTTTCCCATCAGACCCCAAACATGTTTGTTCTTTATCTAGTTTATAAACATTCAAAGCAAAAACAATCTGGAAAACATAAACCTTGAAATCTTCCAACAACTCACGTCTATGGCGTCCCTCTCGAAGATGCGGAGCTGCAGGAAGAGTTCCAGTTTGATCTTCCTTTCCTGGAACAGCTCCTCCATCTGACCCTGGGCCTCATCCAGCTGCTGCAGGACACTCTCAATGTGGGCCATGGAGCTGTTGTGAGGGGTCTTGTTGCTCGAGATAGCGGAGTCTCTGCAAACGCAATCGACATTGACTGCAACTGGAAACGCTGCGGTTTTCTAGTTTTTGAAACTTGCTTGAAAAACTGTGTCTGCACGACCCACTTTGATCATTTTCCACAGCAGTAATACACCGTGTAACATCCTATTAATTGTGAGTGAACTTTTCTTATCCAGGAGGAGTGCGTACAATTCGGCTCGCCCCACCGAGTGAGAATCATCACGGCTTGCGATTCCCCAGTTAAGCCGAGCGTTCTCGCTCACCTGAGCTGCTGTATGAGGTCCTCTCCCTCCTTGATAACATTGACTGTCGCCTGCAGGGTGGTCTGCTGCTGCTGACCGAATCGCTTGATCAGGTCCTGCACTGCTTCCACCGACTCAGCATACACATCATCCAGCAGTTCTTTTTGAAGCTCCTCCAACCATGTCCACAGCTAAAATTAACAGGCAGAAAAAAGAAGGAAAAAGAAAAAGGTTTTAAAAAAATCCAGGAGTACATAAGCAGTTCTTTATCAGCTCAACAAACAAGCAGCCGATTCATGAAATGGTGCAACGAGGTTTAAAAAAAGAAAAAGGTGCAATTTTAACACCACAAAAGCTTTCCGTTACATCATTTCTAAGGTTTGACGTTTTAGTGCCAGAGAAAGAAGTGCGTTTTCCCTCCATTATGGACAAAACACAGAGATGCAGAATCTGCTAACAGCAGCTTAAATAATACTCAAGTTGTGCACATAACCATAAATATGTTTCTGGTATTGTTCCCACTGTAAACAATATGTCATACATTAGACAAGTGCGCATGTCATTCAGGTCGATTTAAGAGCACTCTCACGGTGGTTGTCATCTATTTGTCCTCTACCTAAATATTCAGTGTTTCTGTTTTGGCTGACAATTTCAAGGCGAGCTTTGATGAAAACTAAATCTGCAGTACAAACAGTTTTCCTTGACTGATAAGTGAACATACAAACAACACAGGTCTTGCATGTCATCACGCAGAAATAAGAGGAAACTCGTTTTCTTTGTGTTTGTCTGTAGTCGGACTATTAGTTGTAATTGAAAATGGATAGTTTGTGGGTTCGCCAATGGCAGATTTACCTTGTTGATCATACTGGAACAAGAAATGCACTCCTTCCTGCTTCTATTACAAGATATCTGCATCACAGTTTTCCTTATTTCTGACTGCAGTTTATTAGCAGCCAGGACGCCCAAGCTTTCCTGGCATGCAGGCTTCACTAAGAGCAATAAAACCATGCCGCAACATGTTTACATTTTAGGATGTCTCTCAACATAATTTCTCCTTTAATTAGCTGGCGTTATTTTATTCATCTGCAATTCCGCAAGGAAATAAAAAGTGTCCCTGGGCTGATTGTGCTTTTCTACTTTCGGCAAAAATTGAATGCGGCACTGCAGCTTAACCTGGTTTCAGGAAGAGCCAAGAAGAAGGGAACGAGATACCTCTTTGACATGAGTGTGAAATGCAACAGACATGTCCAGCAGGACTTTACGCTGTTCGACACGCCGCACAAAGTCCTGGATGCGATCCTCTAGCTGGTGGGCGGCCTGGTAGATTTCCTCTGGGTCACACTCTCCAGTCTGGGCCAGCTGTTCTGCTGCCTCCAGCAGCTTGTCAGCATTGGTGTAGGTGTTCTGAAATTAAAACACGGAGCGCTAAACAAAGCATATCCTGACAACACATCCAAGCAGTTTTAAAGCCCATATCTACGCAGAACATGTGTTGCCATCGATTAAAATGATATATGTGAAAATCATTCAAATAAATTAATCTGAAAACTTCTGAAAAATTCAACTATTAATTTGAGCACATTTGTTCAGGCAGGAGAATAAAAAAAAAAAACTAATTAAGAAATAACTGCAAAATCACTTAAAGTCACTTAAAAATAAACGCAACTGTAGCGTTTATTTAAATATACTTGTCTACAAACCTTTAGGACATTACCTGGAACTGAATGAATTGTACAGTCGATGATCTGTGGTTCTATGAGCCACATAGGTGGTCTGTACTAGCAAACTAAATATATGTTGATCCAGCATGACATCAAATCAACACAGAAATGACTAGATCAACCTTCTTCCACTGCCATTGCAGAGATCTACATCCCATATCAAAGCTGCGGGGTTAGAGAAATAATGACCTCAAGGGAATAAATAATTGTGCACCATGTGATTTTGTCCCAATATCTGATTCATTCCCACTTATTAAATGCATTAATAGTCGGGAAGTATGTGTTGCAGTGTGAAACTGTGTCACTGCAGCAGAAAGATTCAAACAAATCAACAAATAATTGAGTTGCTGATCTTGAATTTTCTCTGGTGGGCTTTCATGTATTTTATAAGGTAGAAATATAAATGTCTTAGGAATGGGGATAAAGAAAAACCAAACAACAAACAAACAAAAAAAGGTTATCTCTTGGTTTTGCATCAGTAGAAAACAATAACTGCAAAGACTCACCTGTGCAACCTCTTCAAAGTCTTCATGCCTCTTTTGCAGAGCCCTGGCTCTGTGCAAAGACTTTCCAACACCGGTATGTTTGCTGAGGAAGGCCTCGCCGTGGTTTTCTATCCAGTCCAGCACCTTGAAGCAGATAAATATCCCAGCAATTTAAAATAGAAGCTTTTTCTGATAGAGCAGTACACAATGTCAGTCAGCAGGGGGTGCAAAAAAAAAAATCCCAAAAGGCTGTAAATAAATCAACTAAGAACAATTTATAGATTTAATATCTCTGATGTTGCAAAATCCCTTTTTCAATTTGTGCCACTTTTCTTCTCACTCCTTCTATTTTAATATTTTAATTAAGAACAATTACCAACAGATGCAACGCAGCGTAAAGTGCAAACATTTCCAATGTGGGTGTGATAAGCTACAAATCTTCCAACATAATTACACTAATATCAATCAAAACAGATGGACACACCCCATTTGTGGCAATGAAAGGGATTTCAAGGTCTCTGAGAGAATGTTTTCAAGAGACAAACCAAATGCTCTCGACACTTTATGTGACAGTAAATTGCATCACCATGGAAACCACTACCAAGAGAAAAGGGTGATGAAAGCGCGGATAGGAGCGCAGAGAGGCAGAAACACAGACAATAAAGAGGGAAAGCTTGAGAAACCCAAGTGGAAAGGGAAGCGGGGCAGAGAAGGGCAGATGCCTGCAGGGTGGAGACGGAGAGACGACACGACAGAGCAAATCGCCAGTTTTGACGGAAGATTCAGGGTTTCCAGACAGTCCAACAGATGGACTTGCGCAAAAAAGAGCGCTAAAAAAGCTGCTGATGCAGATAATTACACAGTGACGTTAACACAATATCGCACAGATTAGCTGCCGAAGTTATTTGTCTTTTCTAAGAAGCAAAGAGACAAAGCAGGTGTGTTTGCTGCAGGAAGCCATGAGGCAACACTGAACAGAACCTTCCTGCAGCGTCTATCTCAGCAAAGGTTTTTTTTTTTTTTCATTTTTTTACTCCTGTCACGTTTGCATCCGTCGCTTACTTGCTGCACGTCCTGCTGAAAGACGCACAGTTGCAGGCGCTGGTGCAGGCGAACTTTGCGATGCTGCCAGATGTTTTCGAGCTGCCTCTGGTGATGCAGCACCTCGTGGATGATGTCCAGGACGTGGTGCACCGCCTTCGAGTAGTTCGCCGACGCCATCAGCGAATCGGCACTTCCCGGAGTCAAAGGTCGCTGCAGCTTGTCCAGTAAGGCCTTGCCATCCTGGCTCACCTGGAGACAAGGAAGTGTGGTTTCACATGCTGGAAAACATCTAAAGAGTTCAAGTTAAAATTTTTAAAATTTTTATTTATTTATTGTTTTGTTTTGTGTGTTTTTTACTCTTGCAAAGAGTGTTATGATGTTTGACATCGTCAGGACCCTCATCACAGTACAGTGTTTATCACTGCTTACAGCACGAGCTAAGCACAAAGGATCAGTTGAAATAATTTGCATGATGTTTGTGCGTGTGAGAATATTTGAAAAATATTCTCTACACCTTTGCATACAAGAGTTATCTCCATGAAAAAAATCATTGTTTTGCATACGAGTTTTTGTTTTTGTGCGTGTTTGTTTCGGTGCGCTGACCTCTGAGTATGCAGTGGTGATGTGTTCATACAGTCCCTGGTGATGGTGGATGGTATCTTCTAGTTCCTGCAGCTCAGAGGGCAGCTCTCCTTCTCCGCACGCTTTACACCACGGCTCCACCTTGCTCATGTACTGGTTAGGAAATAACCAAGACAAACATATAACACACACCACCACCTCAAATATGCGCTCGGAACACTGCAGCACCTTTTATTTATTTATTTATTTTTTATTGCGAAAGGTTTTTGAGAACAACAAAACTGACTCATGATCACTCGACCGAGTAAGAATAAAATGTTTGTTTTCATTTTCGTTTTGTACATCGTCTACCTTCAGCTTAGCCAAGATCTGCAACAGTTTTTCAAGATCTATACTGCCTTGCTAAGTTTTTTTTCACAAGAGTTTCAAGTTCACAGCTTTTGTTTTGAACATGTGACTAACCTCTGCTCAGTTAGTCATCTGAATATAGAAAGAAAAAAGTGCAGCTGCAAATCGACCAATAAATGGCCTTCCATCTAATGGCAGCAAGATGAGAGCCATTGGTGAATTAAAGCCTTAAGCAGCGTAGAGGACACAGTAAACACACGAAGGAAGGTAGACTGGTCAAAATAAGGCTGAACACAACTGTTAGAAAATATTTTCCCACCATGAAATATTGGAGCGGCTTGGTATACTGTATTAAAGCTTGTTATACGAGTCCAAATGAACCCAAACATCAACTACAAGAAAAAAAATGGGACAAAAAAAAGGAGGATTAGCTTAAAGTATCTTAGAGTGAGTGAAGGATGGAGGTGCTCTGTTGATGCACAGATTTGTTTTGGACTTATAATGACACAAAAGCATCAACATATCCTGCCAACAGCTGGAATGTTCCCATTGTTTTACCTGCTGATATCACAAGACGTGCATTTGAATGGCGTGACTGCACCTGATCGGCTTTCTGGTGGAAGCTGGCAGACATCTCCAGCAGAGTGCTGCGTTCGTCCAGCGCCGCTGCAAAAGCTTTCCACTCCTGCTCCAGCTGGCCTGAGATCTGCTGGATCTGCTGGGAGGCGTAGTGGCCCGACTCCAGGAGCCGATTTCCAACTGACATGATCCGGTTGATGTTCACGTACACGTTCTGTGTTTCAAAACGGGGGCAAAGAAAGAGTTGTAAAAGAAAAAAAATGTAAGTAGGTCAAGCATGTTATCGTTTCTGACCATATAAATTAGCAGGGTTTCAGGTAAAGCACTTACTGCGCTCTTGTTACAATTTGAGTACCCTGATGCATGAAGCCACAACTATGTTTTCCGATAATTAAGCCTGACTGTGTTGCTACAGAGCAGCTGAAACGTGCAGCTCGTAAAACGCTGTGGCCACAAGTGTGTTCACAGAGAAGGTAACTTAAACAAAATACACGTAAATCCTACAAACACACCCGCAAACACCTTCAGGGACATTAAAAAGTCATCCGCTTGGAAAGCGTACCCACGTGTGATTAATAAAAAATGCCATTTACCTTTTAATCTTTTAGGCTTTTTCTAATGTACCTGCTTCAAGCTGTTTTGTGAAGATAGGCATGGATCAGCAAATGCTAATTAACAACTGTGTTAACAGCCAGTTATTATTCTATTCAATTACGGCTCCTGGAGCCCATTATGGCACCGAGGTCGCTTGTTTTAATTACAACGTGTGGAAAAAAAAACAATAAAAAAAAAAACAACAGCTACAACCCAAAAAACAGTTCAATCTCAAAAGAGGATGACGGCAAAAAAAATGTAGGTGCTTATGCATTTTCAGTGTAGAAAATCTAAAAAGATAGAGTACCTTTTGCATTATTTAAGCTAGGGTTTGCATATATTTTATTATATCTTTACCTATAATATATTTATATCTTTACCAGAGAAAAAGACAATTCTCCTAGTTTGGTTTGTTGGAAGACGGTGTCAAGAACTAAAAACTATTTATGAGAATAATCGGAATTTGCACAGCCAAAATCAGTCTTGTACAGTCACAGTTCTTTAAAAAAAAAAGATATTATGAGACCCTAAGAACATCTACGCTAATTCACAAGCACTTGCACACTCAGAGAGGGTAAAGAGGGGCAACGTAGCGGGATACTCAAAACACACAGGGCGTTTATACAAAATAAATGTATGAGGAGACAGTGCGGATGGGTTTAACAGGAACAGAAAAAGGTGTTTCGTTTCAAACTGAGGAGTGGCAAAGGATCAAAGAATAAGTGATGGAGTAAAAACTGAGAGAAATACACAAAGTATGGAGGATAAAGCCAAATTTAACACAAAAGCGAGAGGAAAAAAAAAAAAAAGGAAAAGGGATGGAGTCCCGAAATTTCTAAAATGAGCTCAGAACAACTGTGAGGACACAAAAGCAAAAACAAAAACTCCTGATGCGAACACATATACCAGCAAAAATGGAGTCATATGGGTCAAATAAAAGTAATATAATAAACAACCAAAACACAATTTTTATTTTTTGATATTTAAATGCTGTGTTTCAGTTTCAAGAGCAGTTTTTGTTCTCTCCTGAGTGAGAAAAAGACAATCCTCCAAAACAATGAAAGCCACAGTTGTGCATATGGGATAGTATTGTTTAACATGTTTTTATGCAAACCCATGACCCAAAGGTCTTTAATGGAACAATACTAATCTCTACCACACATCTCCTTGTATACAAACTACAAGCAAATAACCAGATTACAGGTCCTACGTTTCCTATGTTTCTTTACGTAAATATTTCCAGGCAGAAAAACAATATACTCGTGTGCAGCTTGTGTGACCCTGATTACAGATAAACTTTCCGATTCTTTGATTAGCTGTGAATGCTCTTAAGCAGAACACTGCATCATTGTACACTAATCAAAAAAAATCGTCTTTTTCTGACTTTAATGCCAGAGACTAAGCGGTTCGTCTTAGAGGCAGGTGGGATCTCTCTGATGTTTTTTTTTTTTGATGAATGCAGATGAAAATCTCTCCCGCCCACCAGGTTATTTGCATCCACAGACACCTGTGAGGTATTTTAGGCACGCGGAACATGAGCTGACTCACAGACGGCCCCGCGGTTCAACAATGGAGGGCCCTCAACCAGGCGAGAGTCCAGACAATGAATACATGGCAATGGATCCTGACCAGTGGGAAGACCAAGATGACACATATGAAAACGGAGACACTCTTGGTATTGATGTAGGACGAAGAGAGGTTGTGCCGGTGCCAAGAGGAGCCACTCACCCGGCTAGCAGGGCCTCCCAGCAAAGTAATGACACTTCCAACCGACCACAGATCAACAGTCTGCCTCTCCCTAGAAGGTACATGACTTTAAGATGGCCTCTCCCGAATGGAAACACAGCATCGCCGAAAACAGAGCAATTAGGTAATGTGCTTCAAGTTTAAAGATGTGTGCAGTTAAAGCAAATACTCCAGGGTAAAAAGCCCTCAGAAGTGTTTGTAACGTGTTCTCTGGTAACTAGTGTTCTTCCAGAGAACCACGTTGGGGCTGGCCTTGCTGTGCCTACTGTTGGTTGCAGTAGTGCTCGGTCTGAGCGTTGTTTGTAAGTACATTTTAAATACTGTAAAAATGGCAGAAATTTCTTGCGACTGATCAAATTGTGTAAAATTTGAAGTCTGTGCTGAACATTATCGCGTTGGAAAAGATTTAACCCACTTAAAATGGCCAGACCACAACTTTGATTTACAAAGTGATATATTTGGCATTTTGTTCAGATTGGTCAGGAACTAAGTGCAATTATTTGGCATTTCTTAATAACAGATAACATACTCGCAGGACTCCGCATCAAGCCAATACAGGAAAACCAGAAACTGCTTGAAGAAATCGGTAAGAGAAAGTGAAGCGTAAAACACCTTTGTACCAAAAAGGTACGACATTTTTGTAAACAGTGAAACACAAATTTAAAAAATATATATATATTTGTCCTTAAAGATGACATTTACTTTAATTGTCTCTCTTTAAAAAGGCTCGTGGTGTACAGTAAAATACTACGTGTCTAATACTGAGAACCAAACCTCTCGTTCAGAGCTGTATGTAATGAACTGTGGAATATTTAAGGTGAGGTGTTTTCAGATTCCAGTGTGTAAGTGAGCACATATAGTTTCCATGTAGTGGTATAATCTGAATTGCATTTTTTTTCCTCGTGTCTTTACAGAAGCACATGACTGAAAAATCATTTGTCCTTTCTTACACTGACTTGGAAAACAACACATGCAAAAACTGGAACTGCGATTGTTGATTTATGGACGATGGAGAACAGGATTCAACCACACTCTGTATATGCTTTGTATTCAAAATAACACTGATCAATATCATATAGTTACGACATTCTCTACATGATAAGATATATTTACGTTTTTGTAATTTAAGAATAGATTATGTTTATTTTTGTTGTTCGTTTTAATATTGTATGTTTATACTTGTTTAAACACACATGTTGTCAAAGCTGGCATGTGAGAGTTTCTGATGACATAATGTGCTTGAGTTAAAAAAAAAAAAAACATGTTTCCAATGCTATTTCCTATGCACAAAAGTCTGAAACACAAATATATAACATGGACTGATTACTGTTATCTAAAACAGAAAATGACCACTTTTTCTGCTCATTGAACTGAATGTAAGACATTTTGGTAACACTTTATTTGACTGTGTGCATAAGACTGATATGACACTGTCATAAACATGATAACATCTGTCATGAACATGAAGGAGTCTTTATGAATGCCTATGACTGCAGTCATTAAGTGTCATTCGGTAAATAACGACAATTTTAATGCAAAGTTGCCTTAAAAGTTGCATTAAAAGTCCATTAAAATGGCCAACTTTGAATGATTTGGTAAATAATAACACTTTTAATGCAAAATTGGCACTTTTAATGGACTTTTAATGCAACTTTTAAAGCAACTTTGCAATAAAAGTGTCACAATTTTCCCAGTGACACTTCAGGACAACAGTCAGACATTCATCAAGACTCCTTCATGTTCATGACGGATACTGTGTCATGTTTATGACAGTGTTAAGTCTTAAGCACACCCCGTCAAATAAAGTGTTGCCGACATTTTTACTTTTAAGCTTTTTATAAAGTAGCACAAGAAGCAGGTTAATTGGATTAACTCCACAGGTTTAAGTTTCGGTCTCCCCGGTAACCGAAATGCTATATATAGCTTACCAAATGAAACATTAAATCAAAACTAACTTAACAAAAATTAATCAGGGATCCTTAGTTTTCCAAATCTGACTCTCCATGTTTATTACAACTGAAAATATTTTCATAAATACAAACTTTTTATGACTAAATGGCAAAAATAAAACACAGACATAGCTTAGAAGAAGGTTTGGCTGTGTGACGAGTTGCCTGTTAGAGAAAACAGAAAAATCTGGTGACCCCAGCACTCTGTCTGACTTTCTGAACATAAAAGGTATGATGGGAAAATTTGTGTTTTTGAATCTTTAACTATTTATGCCTCAGTGTACACTGGTTCTAGTATTGGTATGTGAAAAAAGGTAGCAGATTGAGAAACATATGACCATAGAGCTAAGCAATGTAGAGATATTTGCTGTTTCATAAAATAAAAATGATCAAGTCCTGTATTTACTCCTGTCCGATGCTTTGTGAGCTGAATATAAAGTGCCATATATAAAACAAAATGTTGTGTTTTACCTTACTTTTTTTTTTCTTTAAAAAATATAGCAACACGGGTCATATTTAAAAACAAGGATCGATAAGTACAACTAAATCACAATTACATCACTTAGATAAAGAAGACAGAAACTAAACAAACCTGAGGCTTTACTTCCTGAGTCACAACTGAGACATATTGAATTTCTTACCAATATTAGGGAATCGTACCTAGATTTGTCCAACTTTTTGAATCTCAATCTTATAAATGTATTCTGATATCAAAATTAAAATAAGTACACCTGCAATATTTGCATGAGTCGCCTTATTAAATGTGAAAAATGTTAATGACTAGAGATGTAAAAAGATTTGTAATTCACCAGCTGTACTTGCAAAGAACATCCCATAGGGGGCATAACAGCAACATCACTACATGAACTGCTTAAAGCTGGAGACATTACAACACCTAAATGATATAACGCAGTCCTCCTTAGCATTTACTCTACACTTAATATAGTTACATCCTCCCCAGTGATAACTGATTAAACACTATAATCCTTATTGATAAAAAAAAAATTATATATTTTTGAAGCACAGATTTGCTGTGCTTCAAAAAGTGTCAAACTACCAAACAGATGTGTCATATTTTATCTGTTTTCTACTGTAAAAGTCTGCACGTAGCGGAAAATCCTAACAAAAATAACAGTATTCATGTAGCCCTTGTACATGAACATTTATAATCACAGTTTGACACTGTGTGTTTCCATTCTGCCGTGCAAGCAACAGGAAGAGGAAGCAGAGCTTCCTGTGAAAGAATGGGTGGAGGTGGCAGTGGTCACTCAGAGCTAACCTGACTGTGCGGATATGCGTGTGGGCAGAGTGTGATCATATTCTCAAGCGCACAGAATTTCCATCGATATATTCTCAGGGGTTTGTGGTTGGTTTTAGCTTGAGCTACCTGTGGGCGGTGACTAGCCTCGCGTTGTCACTGACAGCAGTTTGTTAGACCAGTAAAGCCACGAGAGACTTGAAGGCCTCCAAAGCTGTGCGTTTACTTCTCCCTTGACTATAATTTTATTTATTGTAGAAAGGTGGCTGCAGATTGATTCAGAGGTAATGGTGTGTCGATCCCTTCGCCTAGAGCAAACCGGCGCCTGATTCAGGCTTGGTTTATTGCTTATTTATAAATAAATCCATTAAAAGTTCATTAATCAAAGGGAGCTGGACGCAATAAAACTGTAATAACAAAACACAGATAAGAAGTGGCGCACTTTTTGTGGCAGAACATGATACTATAAGAATGCTGATGACACAACCCAATGTCCTCAGCTGTATTTCTTAGTTGTCAGACCGGCTAATAAATATAGCAGATCAAGTGGGCAGAGATGTAAATGCGGAGCTGAGCCACATACTGCAGCGCTAAACTGCGGGAGCGGCACAGGGACCATGAAATGGGTCAATACTGGGAACGGCTCCATGACGGGCAATGACAATGCAAAGTCTTGGCTTTGTTCAAAAGAGTCGTATGAGAAACAGAAACAGGACAGAAGAATTTGTAACACATTGTGTGACGGTAGCACACAGATGAGAGGTTTTTCCTCCATTATTTTAGTCATCCATTGATAGTAATGATATATGTGAGCACAGATAAAGCAGCAAAAAACAAACAAACAAAAAAAAACAGGTTGACTCTTACCATGCAGTTCATAGCAAAGTGGTTGTGCTGTGTCTGCAGCTCCACAGCATGCTGGTGGTTCCCTCCGATCTCAGTGTAGCTGGTCAGAAAAAGCCCCTTGTTGTGCATGATCCAATCAAACATCTACAGATATAAAGGGCGGAGAAGAGAAAGAAAACTGTTCTTCAAAAGATTCATTTCCAAAATGCTGAGTAACGACAACGGTGAGAACAAGAGGAGCCTGCTGTTAGGAGCCTGTATTTACTCAAAACCTTTCATCCATCAACTGAGAACTCATTTCCACAGACAAATGTCATCCCTGAGATCAGCTGTGATACAGTCAATAGAAGAAACACACTAGCTGTGTTTGTTTTCCTACTAGGAAGTTCTTCATAGTTCACCAGAGTGTGAACAGAAGTCGTATACTTGTGATTTATGCAGGATTGTGACACATTAGACATCTTTCATTAGCTATATGACTGTCATATGCAGAGACATGTGTTGGTACTACTTCTAATTAACCATAAAAATGCAACTGCATTAGAAATATCTGAAATTGAAAACTGTTTAATGACATCCACCATTATTTTCTCCATGTTTAATAAATTAGACATTGCTTCTGACTGTTAGTTGATCTGGATATTTTACACAGTTTACTAAATGAAAATGGAAGCTTGCAGAGAAACACACTTCTCAAGCCTTGTTGATTTGAGCATGAAACATATTATAGAGGATTAAAATATGGAATCCTGGAAGACCATCTAATAATAGTGCAATGTTCTTTCTTTCTCTCAGGTGGTCTTAAATGCTTTCTGTTTGTTTTGAGTGATTGTCCTAGTGGTGGACGACCTATGACCTGCAACTGAGCTTTCTAACTCTGACCAGATTGTTTCTCTCCAGAATGACCTGGAAGCTTGGAAATTGAATTATGCCCTGTCGAGCCCCAGAACAAAACCAAGCCCCTTCCCTAATTCAGTCACACTGGTTACATGTGTATTTTTTTCTTATTGAAAAGCATTTCTTTATTTTATAAACGGACAACTGATGGGATGCCCTAGTATTATTGCATCGGTCCAAGCCACGTTCTCCCAGAGTCTTTGGAATTTGCTAGTATGATTTCTAGGGACAAAAACTGTATTTCTCTGTCATTGGTGGAGTCCAACTCAGTCTGTCTCCATGATGCCCATTATGGTTAATAACCAAAAAGATGGTGCAACCAGGAAGTGACAAACATTCAATGGTTTTCTTAACTCCTTTATTTTTATTTTTTTACCATTTCAACAAACTGACTCATCGACATGTGGTTGTATTTCCTCTTGTAACCAAGTTCTGCGAGGTTGCACATAGTCCCATGGATAAAACTTCAAAACTGTAATGTTAGCTTTGTTCACAGGATTATAAAGTTGCTTGAGAGGTTGTGTTGTAACCTTGAGCTACAAGAGTTTTGATAGTCTTCTTTCTGAGCCTTGCTTTATCTGGTCAATGTTCAGAAGGATACCAAAGTGCCATGATTCAATTGAACCGTTTTTAAGTAGAAGTGAAACTTTGATATATGTGTGTCTATATCTACATGGGGAATTGTGTGCAAAGCAGGTCAAAAATCCAAGGATTAACTAGATCATGTGTGTTTTATCTTCACCTAACATGCAGGAGACGTGAAACACTCCAACATGGACAAATTAAAGAAGAGCGCTCTGACCTTCTCAGCGTCCTGCTCAAAGAGCCGCAGCTGGAAACACTGGTCCAGTTTCAGCTTCCTCATGTGCCACAGCTGCTGGAGATTCTGCCGCGTCCCGTGGAGCTTATCCAACAACGCCGTCACTTTAGCAACCAGATTGTGCGCGTCTGCGTGTGCGTGAAGACCATGATGGTGGTCGTTGGAGTCTCCGCTGGCTCCAACGCCACGGTTACTGTAACCCCCTTCACCGCCACCCCCGACCCCCGCAGTCTGTAGCTGTAGCCTCTGGAGCAGTCTTCGGCCCTGCGTATCAAGCTCCTCTATCGACGCCTTCGTAGCCCTCTTCTTGAGCGCGGCGTGCTCCTCCATGAGCCGCCGAGCCCCCTCCAGGTCCCGTGGGAGATCGCGCTGGGACAAGGTTTCCTGGAGCTCTTCGAGGCGTGCCAGCGCTCGCGCTGCGTCACTGGCAAAAGTCTCGAAGGAGAGACGCACCTGGGATGAAAGGGTCTAAGCTAGAAATTCAATTGTCCCACAGCAGGTTTTAGCTAATTATAAAAAAAAGTTTCAACCAATTATTAAATTAGCTCCACTGCAAAACTTAAATTAAATAGAAAAGAGAAAGCGTCAAAACCTCAATCCAGTCATCATGGTTGTACTCTAAGCTGCCGTCAAAGTCAGCCGTGAGCTGGGAAGGGTCAACAATCTTGGTCAGACCCTCCAAGGACACCATCACTGTCTGTGGGAGGGTTAGCAAGACAGAATAATTTTTAAAAAAGGCATTAAATAGATGATGAATAAATCAAGGAAAATAAAGAAAACAATTAAGATAAAATAACATCTAAAAAAAAAAAAAAAGCACGGGAATTTAATTCTGTTTCTGCTCTAAACTTTTCAAAACATCACCCCTACATTAAATAAAGAATTTCAAGAAAAAATATGCAACTCTTCAGCTGAATTGTTCTGAATTGTTTAAAAAGGTATGCTGAAAAAGAAAAAAAATTGTGTTATCATTAATAAAAGTGAAACACAAGACTATAAACTAACAGGAAGCAAAAGCAGGAGGTGCTGGGTTCAATGGAGGAAGGTAGACATAATAAAAACACCTTTTAAATTGGCAGATTTTAAACTGGAGCTGAGGTCGGCTTTTGTTTTGAATGTCAACAGCCACATCTATGAGAATATTCACATTAGTTACACTGTTACGAGGAAGGCGGATATCTGAAACTCTTCAAGGAAGTGCTTGTACGGTGATAAATAATAAAATGTGGGAAGAAAATTTCCTCTGCGTGAGTGCTTCTATAATTAATAGCAGTTTGTTTTATCACCCAGTAAACTAAAGGGCAGCTGGGATTTGCAGAGAAAACATCTTCCACTTCAGTAACGATCAGCAGCAGTTGTGAAAACTTAACAGGATTACACGTTGAGTCCATCTTGATTATCTCCCTCTGGTCCTGAACTTTGCTGCCAATCCGAGAGAATTAAACCGACGGCGTCCTGTTCGGGTGTGGAGTATCACTGAGAGTACGTTGCAGGAAAAACTAAAATGGACCGCTTTGGAAGTATGTAAGTGAAGTTAGGATGAAATTCTTTGAATGTCCTATTTGTCCCGGTTCTGTGGTAACTGGGTCAGAACTAAATATACCAGCCACGCATGGCCACATGGGACAGAACACTGCCGCTGTCACAGTGCAGCAGTCCAATCTGAGCCAATCAGAGGGGCGGGGGAGCTGATTATTTTCAAATTAGACATGTTTTTTTATTTTTATTTTTATTTTTTGGAATAAAATAAAAAACAAAACCATCATAGATGATAACTACAACTATATTTGGATAGAAATAATGAGTTTGAGAAATCCTACAAATGTTGTGTCCATAAAAGACAGTAATGACAAGTACTAAACCAGTTTGCAAAACTACTACTGTGATTATTAGTGAAAAAGGATTGGTTTTGCTCTAAATAACAATGCATCACTCACCTCAAATTCAAACTTGGAGCTGCCAAAGTTGGTCCTCTGCTTCTGCCAGAAGTTGTCTGGCTTGATGATGAGGGCAACGTGGATGCAAGACGGGAAAGATTCCTGCAGGATCTTCAGCAGCGGTTTGATGCTGTCCCACTTAGAGCCACGCATGTCCACAATGACCGTGAAGCCATGTCGGGCCACCTCCTCGCTGAAGGACAGATTGCAAAATAAAGAGGCGAATTATCTTCTAAATTACCAAAATAAGACATATCACTATAGGGAATAAAAGAGTCAAAGGAGTTAATTAATATTATCCCAACAAAGATTTATTGTAGCAGCAAATATTAAAGCTAAGTGGTCCTGTCCTCCACCGCATCTGGAGAAGAAGAAGAAAAAAAAAAAGGCAGTTAAAAACATTTGAGCGTTGAAATTTCCACTGGTACTCACCGGGAGTCATGCTGCTGAACAAGCCCATAAAAGGTTATTTCTTAGCATTAAAGGCTATGCTCTAAATGTGTCTGGCTGTAACAGAGACAGGCGCAGGCCCTCCTGCTCTATCTCACTCTGACCTCACTCTGAAAACAGAGCATCGGCCAAATGGGGAGAGAAAACAGAGCAGAGAGAGAAGGGAGAGGAGAGAGAGACAGAGAGAGAGAGAGGGAGAGAGAAAGAGCTGACAGAGAAGAGGGGGGGAGATGAAGAAGAAAAACAGTGGCAGAGTTAGAGTAAGGGTAGAGGAAAAGGAATAAAACTGAGAAGGAAAATCTATCACTCCACTGAGTAACTACTACACCTCCATTCTTAAGCGGTGACTGAAGTCATCCAACTTAGTGAGCGACACGTTCTGATCAGTGATCAGCCTATATTTTCCTGATCCGCAACCCACCATAAGTAAGCGCTGCCAGGTTGCAGTCGTAACAATATTATTGGGACTGGAAGTTGACCGAGTATAGAAGCCTGTAGAAACTGAACTTGGTGTGAAGGCTGTTCATTCAGGCTGCAACAACAGAGAGAAGTCAGCAGCTGATGCAGCTTTGCTCTTGCAAAAGGATAGAGCTTATCGGTTCTATCCTTTTGAATATGGTGCAATGGTCCACGGACGTGCTGGGGAAGGAAATGCTGACCATCTTTTGGAAATCTCACAGAAAAGGTGAGGGCTCTGTAGCTCTGACTATCGGAAATACACAGGAACCCATGCTAATGGCTAACAGAAGATGCTAAAGAAAGCTTAAAATGTTAACTCTGTAATTATGTTTTTTATTAGTGATCATTTCTTGTAACGGCAGAGATGTGTAACACCTACTGCCCCCTCTCTCATGCACAGGGAGGCACCACTCTGCATTCGCAAAAAGTTACTTAAAACTGATCTCAGGAAGGCTTCGCAAGGCGCTTCTCTGTTAGTAGAGATAATAAGGAATCTGGGATATTATTCGTTCACTTTGAAAACAAATGGGAAATGTCCAACTAATTTATATCAAATTAAATAGAAAATATGATGCTAATTCTTTGGTCAGCTAATTAACTGATCCAATTATTTAATCACTGTTATCTGAAGGTTAGCTGAGAAATAAAACATCGCTGGTATATCTGCAAAGCTGACAGTCTTGCCTGTGTGTTGCAGAATATAGACACAGTGAAGAATTATTTAACAGAAAAGGCAAACAGAATAATCAGCCATCAAAAAGGCAGCATGTTTCTTTTATTTCTTTTGACTATTGATCACATGCACAAATGACTTTTTGGACTGTTGTGGTGGTGCAGCAGAATCTATGGCTCTGGTATTGTTTAATATCTTCCCCCCACCCCGGCTTCTTCAGTACACTTGGTTCAGATTTTAAAAATCCCTTAAAAGCAAACATTAAACCTGATTATGTACTAAGGAAGAAATTGGATATTTTGAATTAGTAGTGTTGGATAACAAATTTGTCTGAAACTATCAAAGCAGAAAATCAACAGAGCAAAGCTCAGTTAAAGTAGTCTGCAAGTTTTTGTACACCACTGTACAAGCGAACACCGAACGGCTATCGTTTTGCCTCTGCCTCCTTAGAAAAGTCTTAGAACGCTAAACACCGTTTTTGCTGCAACTAATTTGAACCACCTCTCACCTCCAGACAAGTGTCGGAAATACCGAGGTGAGAAGCACTTAAAAGCACTCGACCTGCACAGCACTAGAAAGTGTGGCACTGAGAAGATCAGAGGCTGCAGAACAGAGGAGTGCAAACTGCAACTCCAAGCTAATCACAAGTGAGGCTAAACAGAACAGCCCGGAGCGATATGTTAAAGGTGCAGACTGAGCTGTATGAAAGTACATAGTGCAGCTCTGAACATTATTCCTGTGGCTACATGCTTAAGGTTTTTAGATGCAAATCTTTGCGACCACAAAGCAAATGTGGGAGCGGGAGAGGATAAACCAGTACATGTGAAAAACTCAAATGTGAAAAAAACGTAGCTACGACACAATGCTGAATCGCTACCAGCTCCTTCCAAACATCAGCAGACTCAAAAGGAAGGGGTCAAAGAGGTCAGATCGACCAATTAAACCAGTATTTCTCTGAGCTGAGTCGTAATTAAAGACAGAAATTGAAAACACAGAGGGTAAGAACTTCAAGAATCTATACCAAAACCCTTCTGACTCTTTGCAGCATAAGGTTATCATTTAAACCAAGCAAGGTGGGAAAATCTAGCAGTGGATTATGTGTTGTGTGTGTGCGTGTGTGTGTGTGTGTGTGTGTGTGCGTGCAAGGGTCAAATCAAGGTGCTTCTTTCAGGAAAAGAAATTGCTGTGTCTTTAAAATCAGGCAACATTGTCAGTAAATAACATAAAATAAGTAGTTGACTTATTTGGAAGTCAAATAGCAACACAAGTTGTAACTGGAGTCACCAATCAAATCTTTGTAGCCATTTTCAATCTCCAGATGGAGGTTTGATCTGCACACACCAATTCCTTGACTTTTCTTTAAGATCTGTTTCTTCAATTTATCTGCTATTTGTTCTCATGTCCACTCTAATATCTTACTTTGGAATAGTGGCCAGGTACGCTACAAGTCTGCGGAGGTCATCAGGTCTTATTCGGTCGTGGTTGCTCCGTGCTGGAAAAGTGAGAATTGGACCTCCACGTCTGTCTCTGCCACCTTCAAACACAACAAGAAAGAAAATCAGCAAATTACGTCAACTTTGATAATTAGACAAAATCCAGGGTCATCTCCGTTCTGAGAAACCTCAGGAACAAGAACACAATTTCATGAAAGTTTGTTCTAAACTAAGTTAAACAGATCAACCAACTAACTTTGCATTGTATTCAAAGGCAGTTTTGCTAGTAAAGAAAAACACATTTAATTAAGTACATAAATATGAACTGACAACTGAACTAATCGCCAAAGTGATGGGAGATTACATTGTGTTTGTGTCTGAACCATCTGTTAATACGTCAGCAGTTAGTCATGGCCCCGATGAGTCAAACTAAAGGGTAAGGGTCATGATTACACAAACACAGCGTGATTGAAAACAGTCACAAATGATGCCAATACCATTTAAAAGTCAGTGTAAAATTAATCGACACTCCTATTGAAAAAAAAAAAAAACAGCCCAATCTTTCCCTTAAAATTGCCTAACTTTTTTCCTTTTAGAATTGACTGATGTTTTCTTCAGATGCATTCTTCTCACCAATCCTCTTTAGCATGCAAACTCATTAACAGCTAAAGGATTCTTAGCTGACATAACTAACCAATAAATGCTCGAACAGCACTTTAGGAAATCAGTGCTGAATAAAATGCTTAGCAATTTTACCAGTTTTTAATAAGCAAAGCCTACGGCAGAAACCGTAGCTTTGTCAATTGCAGCAAGTCACACAGTTTCTGAAGAAACACAGTTCAACACCATCATATTACCTCCACTGTGAATCCGACGCCCTTTCTAAAATGTTTTACATTTTCTTCATCAGACAAAATATTTTTTTAATCAAGATGACTTTTGGGGGGAAATAAAAGAGAGGGCGTTTTTCTTTTTTATCAGCAGTCATTTATGTGGAAACATTTTTTTGTTGTTGTTGAATTTCAACACTGACCTTAACTAAGGGAAATGAGTCCTCCAGTTTTTTTGGTTTTTAAAGATGATTTTCTTTGTTATTTTATTGCATCCTGGATGAATCATTGATCCGCTTTTGGAGTAAATTTGGTAGGCCAGTGACTAAAGGCAAGGCCAGTCACTGTTCTATTTTTTCTCCTTTTATGGATATTGACTATAACAATGGTTTGCTGGATTCCCAAAGTCTTAGAAATAACTTTGTTACACTTTCTAGAGAATTGTGTGTATCTTTGGTCACTTTTTTTTCTTTTTTTTTTCTTTTTAGATTGGGGCGTGATTATTTTCACAGAGATGTTACTAAGTTTGCCAGGCCTCTCTAAACATTTGTGACTTTAGGTTAATAAGTTCAGACAAGGTCCTGCTCTTAGTTACATGTGTCAACTTTCTTGAACAAGAAGCATCTGTTTGCTGGGTGGTGGACACCTGGATCAGCTAGATGCACAAATGACAGGGCACTGTCCCTTTAATTCATCCAACACAGAGGTTGGCTTCAGAGATCATGTGCATTGCCCCCGGGGCAACTTCTAAAAGTAGCACTTGGCACCATGATGTTCTGTGAAACAGTAATGAAATCAATTGTTTTAAATTAAAACTAAAGCAGCAGTGAAGGAAATGAATTAGTGTCTAAAACGAGTGGCAACTGAAGCAATGCCTCTCCAGTTGTCTAAAAAAATTATTAGGAAGCTCAATGTATTACTCAAGATCCTTGAAATAGGAGTTTAAAAAAAAGGCTTGGTGACCTAGTGGTACACCTAATCTGACCTGGCACTAATGCTGCTCTATTCACCAGCTAGGCTTAGCTTCAGCTTACTAAAACTAATTTAAAACTATAGAGATATTAGAACTAGCGTTAAAAGAAAATATATGGAAACCTGTGTTCTGTTAAAATCCACAACACACATTGTTCCAGTTATCTGATTAGTTTATTATGTTATTTTATTTTCTAAGTTTATCGTTGATAATATTTACTTTACCCTGTATTCGTAAGAAACATAAAATCATAATAACATTTTATTCTAAAGCCATGAACGCTTACCTTATTAGATTCACTTAAATCTGAATGAAAATGTCACTTTTTGCAATTATTTCTATTGATTGTTCTACAAAACAAAACAAAACAAAACAAAAAAAAAAACATAAAAGGCAGAACTAAAGTGACTCCTCTAATTTATTCTGTAACGACAGACTTTTCACTAATCATTACGGCTAATGACAGATTAGAAAAAAAGGTGGTAACATGAAAATGGCATGCAGAAAGTGTAACTGACCTGAGAGAAAGGCAACCTTCTCCTTGAGGATAGGAAGCACATCAATCGCCTTCATATCCTCATTGCGATGAAACCCTGAAAAAGAAAAAAAAAATAGCAAAAAAAAAAAAAAAAAAAAAAAAAAGGTAAGTCATGATGATTCTCTTTGGGTTTGATTGCCTGTCAAGATTAATTCAATTTATACATCACAGCCTGAGGGGAGGTTGGATCTGCCCCAACAGAGAAGCTGTTTAATTATTATGTCATTTTATCAAATGGGCAATTTAAACCCAACAAAGTTAATGATTTGTTTAGTCTCTGTAATGAAGGTGACTCTGATCTGCTGAGAAATGTAATGGCTTCTATTTTTGTCCATTTTCCAAATACGTTTTCATTCTGTAGTTAAGAAGATTTTGTCATGACAACAATTAAAAAAGAGGAGGTGTGATAACATTTCACAGCCTCATTTGCGTTTGACAACAAAACTGCCAACAATAGTGTCAGACAACGATACGTATTGATCCCTGTGCAACAATGCAATACGCAGGAGATGGTGATAACACCAGAATGCAGGACATGTCAGTGGCCATATGGGTCCGGTCAAAGCTGCAAAACATAGTAGGTCAAGCAATAGTCTTTTGCTTTTGTTTCTACATGAAAGTTTTAGCTTAGCTCGGTGCCGATATGTTTCTGAGCCTGGCCTGAGTTTTGTTGTCGTATGCTGTTCAAATGTCAACCTCTCTGCCTCAACTGCTCAGCAGATGGCCCAAGGTTTACTGGAAGAAAGCAAAATGCAACAGCAAACCGCAATCACACCAAAGGGTTCTCATCAACTACTTAGTAATTTGTGCCTGTCAGAGCAATCCTAAATGCAACTGATTTAAATGTTGTTTTTATCTGATAGTTGTTGGTAACTGTGCAATTCTTTAGGTTTGCACAACTTAATAAAGAACTGGAGGGTGTAAATATGCACAATAACTTGTGCATTACAGCAGACAACTAAAACTACAGAAGGGAGTGACAGTCTTTCGACATAGCAACTGGAATCTAATTCTGGATATCTTTCAGTAAATGTATGGGATGTAAAACATCGTGGTCACATGAGATATAAAAAAAGTGAATTTCTATGCCACTCATATAAAATGTTTACCCTTTTCTAAATCTAAAAAAAAAAAACATAACATAATCCCAGAACAGCAGCGTTCAATGAACCATGATGGTGGAAGTATAATTATCAGCTAAACAACTGGGTCATTAATTTAAAGTAACAACAGTAGTAAACCATAAATAATTAATCTATAAATAGAAAGGCTACAAAAAAAAATAAAAATAAAACAGTAAGAAAACAAACAGTTACATAACCAAAAAGCTACTTTGACAATTTTTATATAAACATTGAATCACACAGACCACACTTACTGTAAAAATGAGCCAACTTCTCATCGGCTATTCATAATCAAATTTGTCAGAGATAAATAATCACTCTCTAAGTTTAAGCATTTTTAACCTTGCATCAACTAAAATTAGTTTATTTAACATGAAGAGTCTAATAAAACTATGATTGCCTCTTCCAGATTACAAATGAATCATAACGAAAGGTATGAAAAGATAAGACATATAAATTAAACAACTAAATGGTACAGTAAAGAGAACAAGATGGCAAGACAATGTAAATGGAAGATCAGCATCAAGAGAACAAGGGGAAAAATACAATCTGCAAAAATGAAAAATAAAAAAATAAAAAACATATAGGATGAGGAAACAGACTAAAGAACTACAGTTCACTCCTGGTGTTAGTGGCTTCCCTTTTTGTTGATTTAAACTACAATTAGATGATCAGATCCAAGACAAAGCTCCACAGAGCGTTCGCTGCAGAAAAAGTTAAACAGACAAAAAATAAAAAAATAAAACTCTCAAAAATAGCACAACCAGATGGGCCTAAGTACTGCGATGGTCAATCTACTAAAACAGGAAAAGCTGACTGCCTGTTTTATTCATTCAAACTTAAGAGTTTTTACAATCTCCCTCTGATTTTTTTTCTTTGAAAACTGCAGCACCTGTTTCGAATCCATTTATTTTCTTTTGTTCATGCAGACAAAGACAAAGTAGGAACTCTGCACTTTGTTTAAAAACAGGTGTGTGAATGTGTGTGTGTGTGTGTGTGTGTGTGTGCGTGTGTGTGTGTGCGTGCGGGTCTGTGTGTGAGAGTGAGTGTGTGTGTGTGTGAGTGTGTGGAACATCTCCACCACAGGAGAGAGAGAAATGCTCCTCTTTGAACTCCATGTCTGAGCACATGCGTGTTTCCTGTCAAGGGTGCCCAGACAGACGCATTCCTCACCTTGGTGGTTTATAGAAGATACCGGTTCCGGCAGGCAGCTGGTGCTGACCTCTGTTAAAGTGCTGCAGTTCTGCTTCTACTGTTTTTCTACACCTTTATGAACTCTACGTCAGGCCAAATCTAGCAGAGAAACGGCACAGAAGAGCGAGCAACAGATGTGACTGTCACCCAACTTTTGCACTGTGTCCTGCGTGGACAGCAGTGGAGTTTGAAAAGCAGAAATAAGATGCTTCTAGATCAAAATGCCCAGTCGCTTGTGATGCCAATGCAGTAAAAAAAACACATTCACACAATGCAGCTCATGATTTCAATCATGTTTATATGCAGTGACTTAGCATAGAATATTCTGTGGAAGTGGAAAAATTGCCAAGCCTGTTGTGATTCATGAAACTGCATCATTGTTTCTCACTTCAAATGTTTACAGAGGGGCACACTGTGATTTCCCCCCCCCCTCTCCTACTGCACACAGGCCTTCAGTTACACATTGGCCAAGAACAAAATAAACCTGTTCAATTCCAGGTTCATAGCACACTCATAATAAGAGCAATCCATTTAACCGCTATTTGTGCACTTTGTCTTTTCATAGCAGGCAGAGTCCATACCGCGTCCGACCAAGAGATGTGTTTTTTGCAATGAACCTTCAAATGAACACATTTTAACAAATGAAGGAATTTGAGACAGACTTCTAAAAATAAGATTTCGGTGTGTCTTATTAAGCTATTTGGTTTCCTGGCAGAGACTTGACTATTAGGTCTGCTCCATACATTTTTAACAGGGTTGAGATTGGGGTGATTCGAGGAGCTCACATGCTTCATCCAAAATGGGTTTAGCAGTGTGCTGGATCACTGTGCCACAGGAACAACCAATTAGTGTTGGTTGTTCCTGTTTTTAACGGTTTTTAACCGTCTGTGGCGACACGTTTATTTGACGGGATGTGTGCATAAGACTGACATGACAGTCTTATAAGGTGTTATGCCTTAAAAGTGACATAACACCTGTCATGAACATGAAGGAATCTTCATGAATGTTTAACCCTTTGTAGTCGCTGCCCGCCGTGCGGCGTACAAGCATGTGACACATTAATAAGGCTTCGTAATAACACGGACGCATACCGAGTTTTCATTTCAACTCTGTTGGACAGCACGGACTTCGAACTTTATAAAAGTGGTGTTTTTATATTGGTTTTGTGGTTATTTACTTCAAAATAAAGCCAGAAATAAGATTGATAATTTCCGCCTTATTTTGTGGGGTCTAAATGTACCACATTTCGAAACAACCAATGAAAATGTGTTGACGGTCTGTTGCTAGGTAGAACGGAGACACGGAGAGAGAGACGGGGGGGGGGGGGGGGGAGTTGGGTTGGGCAAGAGACACGGGAACA